TGAAACCTGCTTTATCACTCGTCTGTCAAAATTTTTTGTTCGGTCAAAACTGATTTTCCGGGAAAATACTATTCAAAAACTGGTTTTCTAAATTGCCGATCTTTGGATCAACTCTAACATGTAATGCAAACTCGTTTTATTGATGAAACTACTATTGGAGGGCAATTGTCTAAATCTAGTAAACTTTTAGTTGAAGATTTCTCAACTCCTTGTCTATTATTCTATTGATTGATTCGAACAAACCGCCGTCGCTAACGAAATAAACAGAAGACAGTATATCCTCCATTTCGCAGTTGTATATGAACTGGAAAAGCTAGAAAGGCAGAAAGACAGAAAGCCAGAGATCGTATAGTCACATGTATTAGCCGCGCGCCAAATCGAATAAATTGGACTGTATTTCTTTAATGCGATGTCATTAGCCGGCGGTTGTTGTTGTTCGATACATTGGCATCAAATGTCTATTTAATGATTTTGTATTATTTAACGAATTAATTCAAGGGAGGGATTTGTTATTTAGACCTATAGGTGAATCAATGATGGGAGGACTGCTATAAATTGCCATGAATCTTTTCTTTATTTAGAAAGTCTTTAGGTCAATTACCTGATAAATTACATTACAATATGAAAATGAAAATAAAAATAAATAATGCACAAAAATGAAGACGATAAAAACTAAAGCTCGGGCTGTAGGTATGCAAATAAATGAACTAATTTCGATTTTATTTTTGAGCGTGATATTTTAAATAAAAATAGATCTTCACATGACTAACGGAACAACTAAATCTTAAATATCACTAAATTATTATAATTATAAATATTTTAAATATTTTATGATAATGGTTTTCTCATAAGCCTGGACTTGTTTTTCACAAGTCTTAATTTGTTCAAATATAATACTAATGTTTTCAATTATATATTAACACGTTATGCGTCATGTCAGTCACATGAGTCTGACGCTAGAAGTTGTGACACATCGATTGCCTTCTACTTTAAAATATTATCGTTAAAAAATTCTATACTTGAATTTTTTGAGATAATGGTGGTGTAACATTTAGCGTTCACCAACAATTTGACAGCAAAGTTTTTATTAAGATAACAATTATCTATATAGTAAATTAGCTCTATGCGAATTAAGACAATTGAATTACTTATGATACTTCTATTTACGAATCCCACATTTACGACGATAAGATTGAATTCCAATAGAAAACGTGTCCAGGCACAACTAACGCTTCCCACGAAACTTTCGCAAACACATGTGATATATTGTATGATATCAAAAGCGCCCAAATAGCATCACGCTTTATATTTGACGTTTATATTGAATGTTTACCCATGTTTTTCTGACGTATATATTAATGGATTTCTCAAACTTGTTGGAATTACAATAATCAGAATTGAAATGATAAATTTGTACTTTGTATCCTATATGAATTTTTTATTTGTTAAAGAATATGAATAATAAAACTAACTAACACGTTAAACGACACGTTAAAGGGCCATGGTAAATTTATTAGGTAATATTATAAAAATGTATCAAGAAAAAAAAACTTAATGTACAAAAGAATTTTTTTTCGGAAAGTTTCTTGAAAAAATGCTATTTTTATGTCATACAAATATGACTGACATGGCTCTATGTAAAACTTTTTTTCTCCTTCTATTGTGTATGTCACAACTTTCTAGCGTCAAACCCATATGACTGACATGACGTTTATTATAACTGAATATAATTTTTAATTATACGTTATTTAATGGGTTTATAATATGTATTGTTATTTTTAAGTTAGATTCAACAGTTTTTTTATTTTATCTCTGCAAAAGCTTATACTTGTGGGTGGAAAAGGATTAACTAGATCTTTATTAGCAAAGATATAAACAATGAGAAAATAGTAAATTAAGATTTAATTTACTTAAAAAAAACAATAAATAAAATTATAGGATAAATTGAATTAATAGTTTTTATTTTTGCTGATGAATATTTCACACTAAATACCAGATCAAGGTTATATACAACGTAACATTTGTAAAATAATTTAAATTAAAAAAGGGTTAAATAATTCAGCCTTTCGTAATTAAAATTATGAAAAAGGGTTGAATAATTCAGCCTTTCGTAAAATCCCGTTAAAATTCAATTTAAGGCATTGTATTGTTTGTCCGATCGCTGTTCCTTTTTACCCAAACTGATGGAGTAAAAAAAACAGGTGACAAACTTTAGGAAAATAGCCAAAGAACATTTCTATAATTAGCATTTTTGAACATAGTTTGATAGTTGTTTGTTTGAAACGTCCTATTTGTTGTGATAAAATTCATTTGGATTAGACACTATACTGAAAGTCAAACTGGACCTTTGTGCTTCATCCTACTCTATAATATTTATAAATATCCAATACAAACAAATTTCAGAAAAAATACAAAATAGGTTTTCTTGTAATTAACTGAAAGTCAAACTGGACCTTTGTGCCCCATCCTACCCTTTAATAATCAACAAATATAATTCAAATTGAACATTCAACATATTTATTTCCAATAATTATTCAATTATTCAATAATTATTTCCAATAATTAAATTCCGTCATCACATTTTAATTGATATTATTGACGTTAACGAGACAATTTCAAATAATTTTGAATGATATCAAAGCAGATATCAGTTTTCAATTGATGTTCCTGTTAGTAGTTTGCAGAAACTCCATTCACGCACTCATAGTCATCATCAGTGTTGCAATAAGGGCCACAGGGCAGAGATTCGTAATCAAATTCGATGTCAAATTCAGTGGGTTGCGGAAATGAAGAGATGGGTTTGGATTTGTGGTCAAGGGAGAATGACTGATTGAACGATCGGATAACAATTCTCATCAAAGGTTTACCATGGGATATCTAGATAAATTAGTAGAGGAAATTTGAATGATTTTGCCAGAACTTGGAACAATTATTATATGCTGTGTTGATATATATGAATTTATAATCGTATCAATAATACTATAAAATTGCTATTTTCAATCTTAATCTTTTATCTCAGCAAAACTTATCGAGCTTATTCGTCAAAAAAGTGTTAGAAGGAACTACGAAACTTCCGACATAACTTTACATTGTTTCAGAGAATTTTAGACTTCGTGATATGAAGTTATTTGCGCCGGGGAACCATATCACGTTAAAAGCTTCCTGCCATATAAAAAGAGAAACGTGTGGCAGTTGAACTTCACTAACTGCTAAAAGTTATGAAATAGGTCATCGAAAAAGGTTTATCGAAGACCGACCATTCGAATAGAATTGATTTATGCTAAATACAATATACTACAGTCCCTTGTCAAAATAAACACGTAGCTTATGCCCACAGAACCTGTGTTATTTATTCATAACATTTGATTTATTTGGATATTTGATTTATGTGGAATACCGGAAATTGAATATTTGTTTGGAATTCGATCAAATGTCAGTAATTCTATAGGGACATTAATTAATCATTAAATTTAAATCATAATTATATTTGTATTATCAGAATGTCATTATGGAGCTGTCTATATATTATTCTACCTAATGGGCATCTACAATTTATTGGAATTCATGTAATGAGTGTTGTTCAA